CCTGTCAATCTCCCGTTCCATCCTTCCCTCACTTGTGAACAAGACCCCAAGATACTTGAACTCCTCTGAATCCGAGGTTCGACTATCGGTCGAATTCTCCTCTCCAGTACCCTGGCATAGACTTTCCCGGAGAGGCTGAGGAGTGTGATCCCCCTATAGTTGGAACACCCCCTCTGGTCCCCCTTCTTGAAAAGAGGGACCACCACCCCGGTCTGCCAGTCCAGAGGCACTGTCCCCAACCGCCATGCGACGTTGCAGAGGCGTGTCAGCCAAGACAGCCCCACAACATCCAGAGACTTAAGGTACTCAGGGCAGATCTCATCCATCCCCAGTGCCTTGCCACCGAGAAGCTTCTTAACTACCTCAGTGACTTCAGCTTGGATGATGGACACAGCAGATCTGTTGGTGAAATTAAAGCCCATTTCTAGAAAGTAAATTTAATTTCATAAGGAGATTATTATCTCTTTATTGCCTTGACGATTACTACACCCTCTGGAATTCATACATCACCTAACTCCAGATGCTATCACAGCATAGGCTGCTGTCTCGTCAGCCTTATAAATGACTGAGATGAAGTTATTAGCAGAAGATTAGGAATCAGAACTGTTTTAAAGTCACTTTTGCATGCTCTGTTCAGAAGGTGCTGTACAGAAGTCGATGAGATGTTATTTAAATGTGACAAAACAAAAAACAGCTTTAGGGATATGCATGTGTTTGTGTGAAAAGCCAGGAGGAAGGGAATGTGTATTACATGGCACTTGCTAAACCATACTGGGAAAAATATCCCTTTGTTGTGAAGAGGTTTCATATGCAACAGTCTATCTAAAATGTAATGGCTGGGATTGAATGTATGCACGCTCAGCTCAGCACTCCCACAGCATTATTTTTACTGGATCGTGTTTTCTTTTCAGCCCTAATTTCACCACTGGAGCAGCTTGAACACTCTTGTTTAGCAGCTTGGGAAAGCAGAGGCATAAATCAGGCTTTAGTTTTGCATGGTGCCACTGGTATTGCTGGTGAAATACCTCTGGGCATTCATCTGACATGAGATTATTCAGGATTATACAGAATCGGTGCCTGCTTTATGGTATCATTGCAAGATGTTGACTTTTGCATAAAGACCTCAGCAAAAACTGACTTGCATAATAAAATCTTAATCTGATCCACTTTTTTCTGAGTGTTTCCATCCAGACAGTTATTTAAAAGGCTACATTTGTGGTCATGAATGAGCTCGTCGGGCTCAGGTTTCATCACAACAGGAAGAATTGCATAAAGCTGTTTCCTTCATGCTTTTTTCATTCCTAAATCATCAAAGTGTTTTAATCCTTATGTATACTTTACATAGGGAGGGATTCTGTGTTTTGCTCATGCTGTTGCCAGGAGAGTGTCCAGGTTTTGATTTTGGAAAGCCTGTTTGGACCAATCAGCTGTTAGCTGTGACTCCAGCCCACCAATCAGCTGTGGGTTTGCGCCCTGTGTGGGCGGGCTGCTCCTCTGTTTATACAGTGCCTATCTACCTCACTCCCTCTCCCTCCAGGGGGTGGGGGCAGTGTTGGCACTCAGGGCTGCTGTCTGCAAGTGTGCTTGCACGCATACATACATGCATGAATGTGTTGTAATGTATTGTAAATAAGGACAAATGCACACAAATATGATCATTCTCTTTAATTTATTCCTTTGCTCTGTTCAAACCTGTGAAACCGGTCAGAGGTTGCCTTTGTTCACACTTGGATGCACTGTTAACACACTGCTGGTGCCTGTCCTGTCAGCTTGATACACATCCGATAATGTCTGCTGCTTCCTCAAATCATATGTTGCTGTTGTTATAAGGTAATGAAATCGCTTGGTAATCAAAACAGAGGGCAAGGATCACCTGCTCTACCTCACTAAATGTAAAAGCTGGTATGAGTCCTTAGAAGCCAGGAAGTACTACTTGTACTTGTTTGACTATATTAAATTAGACTTGAAATATGGGAAAACATGATAATGTCAAGATGAAGTCCTACACACTAATCAATTTGTTTTCCTCATCGACAAACAACTGTCATATCATTAAACAACACATTTACGCATTAAGAGCCTCCATGGTGGTGATCAGAATTATCAAGGGGCTGATTTATCAAACACTAAATGAAAATGTCAGTTTTGTTAATTGGCCGCCTGTTTATATGAAAAAAATCTTGGAAATGTTTTCTGACCTTTGACCTTTTTTTTTTGCCTTCAGGTGATTGGTCTACTAGATGTTTTCACACCAGCAACAACTTTAGAGGAATTCAATGATGTGTAAGTGACCTTTTCTCTGCTTCTCACTCCCGTCTTTTAGTTGTTCCTGCATCTGACATGTGATTTTATTTTATTTTTCGAAGTCTGTTTCTCTGCCGTCCTCCTCTTTCAGCTGTAGGAGTGGTAGTTTTCTTCGTTCTAACACAGTGAAACCCTTCATGTCAGCAGATGACTGATAGATCACAGTAGTGAAACTAGAGATACAAACATATCAAAATCCTGCTGCTCACAACTTAATGCGAGTCCAACATGTGTCAGGCTGTACCAAGGTGAAAGCAGGGTGAACACGTGCACTACGCACATCACAGCTAGTCTCTATGGTAACAGCCATCTGGCCAACTCTGGAGTTACAGTTTGTGTGTGCGTGTGTGTGTGCACAGCCAGCGTCTGTGAAGTTCATGCATGGCGTTGCGTCATCATCAGCGTGCTGCACATTTGTGGAAATGTGAGCTAAACGTACACATACATAAACACCAATTCCCAGCATTGAAGTTGGGCAATAAAACTGTTACTTCTCTTTCATGTGACCAGTAATAACAACAGAAACACAGTGAAGCTAATCCTTATGGTGCACTCCAAGAGAAGCAGAAGCACATTGCACAGTGCTCACAGGCCAGCCTGTAACTAGCCTGTTTGCTGTGGAATACAGTCAGATCGAGCAGATGCCACACACAGGCTTCACATGTATAGTATTACTGTTGTCCATATAAACGTCCCACTATCCAAGAAGAGATAAGTGAGCCTGCTTTTCCCCACCTGTTTCCTATTAGGTTCTTTCTTATCCTTGCTTTCTTAAAGCGCACAAATGATTCACGAGTCTTTTATGTAAGCTGAATTACAATGAGTAGACGACTTGTACATTTATTTATCTTTCATTACACCATTATAGCAGATGGTAGTCTGTATTTTTAAGTCTTGATTGTCTAGTGGGTTGCAGAGAGGCGGACTGGAAACGGGAGGTAGAGACAGGGAGGGTGGGCACCCTGAGATAACTGCTGACATTGTGCATGCACTGTGCGTTTATATATGGTCCTCTGTAGTGGTTAGCTGATATGAGTTTTTTAATGGCCTATGCCAGTGCCATTTTATTTATTTATTTATTTCTTGAGCGAGCACAGAGGCTGACGGCCATTGTATAATGCCAACATGCTTTTCTTTCTCATTTTTCTGCATCAGATAAAATACACCAATTTAATAACAAATAAGACATATTTCCTGAACACTTATTTAACCTCAATGAATTATGAAAATGAAACAAATTAACATCGTCTCTCATTTGCTACAGTCTGAGCTCACCCTGACCAGGCCCAAATTAATCGGCCGACCACTAGTGCTCTACCAAAAGCCCAAAAGAACACTCTTTTAAACAAAGTTACAAAATGATTTGTAAATCATAACACATGTTAAAAATAGTAAGAGGGACAGTGGTAAACATGGATTGAAGAAAGCTGCAGAAGGCAGAGACAGACGTGCTGGCATTTGGAGACCGCATCTGATTGGCTGGATAATTTTCAGGTACTTGGTGACCCACCTCATGGGAGCAGACCTCAACAACATCGTGAAGTGTCAGAAGCTGACTGATGACCACGTCCAGTTCCTCATTTACCAGATTCTCAGAGGCTTAAAGGTTGGTGAAGCTCCCAGCGTAACCAGACGCTGGCCCCTCAGATCAGCTCCTTGACGGCTGTTTTACTGCAGTGGTTTTGAAACGATCCTAAGTTTACCTATTTTGATAGAGTAAATGTGGATATATGCTGGAGATGTAGGAAACTAACTGATGTCCACTGAATGAGAATTGGTCTAAAGCACTTCTGTAACCAAAGCTGAACTTTGACAGTTGACACAGCGACGTCAGAGCATCTATGGCAATGTCATTTCTGATGGGGGACAACACTTGATGCTTCTCACCATGATGATATGCTGAAACCTGTGTCATGACGATCATATTTTTTTATGCAGGCTTCTACTATTGTACTTGATAGTATGTGTAAAACAAAAAATCTGGTGGTGGGCATATACTGTGCAAATATTTAAGAGAAACTGCATTAATGTTTCACCAGTTCAGTGTAAATTTACACTGTAGCACATTCTTTATGTAAAAAAACAAAACAAAACACACATTTGAACTTAAACATCCTTCTTTTCTTCTTTTCTCCCACAGTACATCCATTCTGCAGATATCATCCACAGAGTAAGTGCTGATTTCTTTTGTGTACCCTGCGCTGATCAAACCTCTTGAATTTGGAATCTTGAATCATTGTCATGATTTGTAAGGTGTCTGATAAACACGTGGGTGGGTGCATAATAATGTTAGCAGGACACCCCTCTCTCATGTTTCTTCTCAGCTTCTCCTTCATGCCCTTTTTTCTCCTCAGGACCTGAAGCCCAGTAATCTGGCTGTGAATGAAGACTGTGAACTCAAGGTGAGGAAATGGTTCATTTAAAATGAACGGTGAATCCTAGTTCCCTTAAATGTATCTCTACCTTAAAGGTTTCCCTCACTTGCATCTTTTCCTTGTGTCTTAGTCCTTTCCACTTAAGATACAACTTCTGGGTTGGCAGAGAGTGGAGGAGCGAGGAATGATGAAAATAAGGGAACAAAAAAGAGCGAGGAATGATGAAAATAAGGGAACTGGGATTTACCCAAAGTTCACATATAATAGCAGATGATGGACTGGAAGGGGCTCCACTGTCTCCTCATATCTCTTTCTCTTTCTCTTTGCTCCCGTCTCTACTTCCTTCCTGCCCAAACAACACTCGGCCCCCCAGATCCTGGACTTTGGTTTGGCACGGCACACAGATGATGAAATGACGGGCTACGTAGCCACCCGGTGGTACCGGGCCCCAGAGATCATGCTCAACTGGATGCACTACAACATGACAGGTAAACGCACAGTCAGAATGTTCTGGGTCACAGGCCCACAGCTGAACAGGACATCATGTGCAATTTCACATAATGGAAATGGTGCATTGTGTCTGTATGTTCAGGGCTGTTGTAATTCAGTTTCACAGAAGAGCTGAACAATAATGGAAAAAATAACCCTGAGGTTTTTGCTTGACATTGCTGATAAATAAAGAAGGTAGTTTCACCAGATATGTGTATGTATCTTTTTCCTCTGTGGCGTTGCTTGGTAAGAATTGATTACACAAGAAATGATAAGGGTTAATTTAGAGAAACTAGAATAGGTTTTCAATTTTCTGCTTGATTCAGCATGATGTCAGGACACAGCATGGAGCAGAAGCATTAGCCACAGCTTTGGAGTCTCCTTTGCATTTGTCTTAATGTGACTTTGTGGTGTTGTTATAAATGGTGAAATAAATTTGCCTTTTGCTGTGACATTTGCAAGACACTGTTGCCCAGTGCCTGTTTTTTTAAAAATCACTTTGAAATAAATTTAAATGCAGATTGTTAAATAAAGCAAAAGAGCTTCAGCTCAGTCCAGTTTAATTTTGTCCTAAAACATAGTTCATGCAGCTTTAAAGTAGCATATTATAAAGTATTCACTTTAATACGTTTTGTTTGTTTTTATTTAATAGTGGATATCTGGTCAGTGGGGTGCATCATGGCTGAACTACTTACTGGACGGACACTCTTCCCCGGCACAGATCGTATCCTTCCACCACTGTCATGGCTTTGTGTAGTGTTAGGTGATGGATAGATCTTGACGTAGTTTTAGATGGATGCATTCTGCTCTTTTTTTTTTGTATACACTTGTGATTAGATTTTCAAGGTGTCTGCATGAGAGTTACTGTCAGGCCGTCACACAAGCTACTGCTTTTCAGGATTTCAAACACACGTGCATACATTTTACCTACTTCAAGCTGATTCAGAAGCAGTGCTGAACTGTATTGAACTGTGAGCTGCATGCCAGAATAACTAAGGAAGTGTGTGTGTGCGCCTAGCATTACTCACAATGTAGGAATTAAAGCCTGTTTACACACTCACATTGTGGGGACCAGATGCTGGACCCCACCATGTAAACCACTGAATTTTAGAGTGGTGACTTGGTTTAGAATTAAAGCAAGGTTAGGATCAGGCCAAGGTTTGGCTGGGGGTTAGGCTAGTAGTGGTTATGGTTAAGTGTTAGAATAAGTTTCTAGGACATGAATGCAGGTCAATGTAAAGCCAACACAAAGAATGAAAACAATGTGTGTGTGTGTGTTATGGGAGCTGGAGTCCCCTGTGGTCGATGACTCAGCGCTGCCCACTGTTGTCTCCACTGCTCCTCCACGACAGTACGCCTTCCTGTTTCCCTCCCACAAAGCTTCCCATACACAGCAGAAAAACATTCACATGTTTTAATACAGAGGCACACAGGAAGCCCCTGTGTAATTAGGATTTACACACAAACGTACTCACATCTTCAGATACACATGTTGGCGCGCACATTACAAAGGTCACGGTCCTGTTCAGAATCAAAAGCATGAGCTGGCAGTTGCATGAAGCGTTTGATTCCTGCTCCGAGTGATCAGCCAGTCCATTCACTCTTTCACTGCATGCTCTGTGTGTGTGTGTGTGTGTGTGTGTGTGTGTGAGAATGTGCATCCTCTCAACTAATCTAAACCGCCTAGAGAGGCGGTGAAGCTACCCGCCTACACCAAGAAGCTTAGTTGAATATACAGTAATCTTTTCGCTCATTTTCATTTTACATGTCTCAATGAAAGGTGATCTTTGCCTGTGTGTAAAGAGGCTACGGGCGCGTGGGAGGAAATCTGACAGTAAATGTGCAAAATCAGATCTGGCATCTTACAGAGAAGACAATATATTGACACGAGCTGTGCACAGTATTTGTGCCTTTTTGTATAGATCTAAAGATAATCAAGGGTGAAACAACACACCTATATTAATTTACTAATTGCTGGCATTTTAAGTTTTAAATAATTATTTGCAGATAATTATTATTTGGTTTGGTATAGCCACTGGGCCTTAATAAGGAGCACAGCCAAAGTTAACTAAAGAAAGCACTGTGTGTGTCTCATTTTTACACAAAATAATAACCTTAATAATGTATGGTTTATTATTTCATAGTACTAGGGATACTTTTTTTTCCATGCATTTTAAATTTCAGTTTTTATTCAAACTCCAGCATTGTTAGTCCTCAGCTATGCTTCACAGCCTATGACAGTGCACATTTGAGTTATATTATTGACTTGGTTGGCCTTTTTTTTTTTTTTTAACTTGAATGAATGAACAGATGTCAGACTTCTGACCCCTCTCTCTCTCTCTCTCTATCCAACACCCTCTATCCTTCCTGTTTTCCTTCATGTGAGTGTGGTAGACATTGATCAGTTGAAGCTTATAATGATGCTCGTCGGAACCCCAGGGCCCGAGCTCTTGATGAAAATCTCTTCGGAGTCTGTGAGTGTCAAGTACCATCCCACCCGGTTTTGTTGCACTGCCCCCTCCTGCCTGCGTTTATGTTGCCCTGGCTAGAGTTAAGACACTCTACTACTTTGTACTGCTGCTACTACTTCTACACCTGCTGCTACTACTTCTACACCTGCTGCAACTGTCTAGCACTGAAACTGTTTTCCTAACAGCTTGATTTGCATTTTAGTAGAAGGCTTTGATTCCCACTTCTTCTGTAGCCTGTACACTGACTTCTTACAGTTTGCTCATCTCTTAACATGACAGTAAGAGGCCTGTGTACGTGCAGTAAATCTCATTATAGGATATAGTCGATTAAGGGTTGCTGTAAATCAATGCTCAGACTGTCTTCCTCTTCATCCTCACCCTGTGTATACTCCCCTCTCCACCCCACCATACACAAACTACCCTAACCACCCATGCTCTGTGACATGTTGACCTCCACGTTATGATGCCCCTTGACTCAGAAGCTGTAGATATAAACCAGCTGCAGCAGATAATGCGCCTGACGGGGACGCCCCCAGCCTCCCTCATAAGCAGGATGCCCAGCCATGAGGTGAGATGCGTGCCCTCCAATTTCCCACACGCCCCAACTATGTTCCCCGCTCAGAGTTGGGGCCGAGCTGCAGTTGTCCACCAGCTGATACCAGACAGATATCATTAGACAATGATGTATTGTATGTTTTAAAGTATTCCCTACCAGTCCTTTTCTGCACATTATCCTCCACTCTCACTCCACTTCGACTCACCGTGCTTGTCGCAGCAAGTCTTCCTGGAGTGCTTTGCCAGTGCCAGTGTATTCTAATGAGCAGTATATTGGTAACAGTGAAAATTAAAGCACTACGTTTTGTGCAGTGTGTGTGATTTAAGTGCTCAAAGCATGCCTTAATGGAGTCCTGTACAGTTAAAGTAATTCATGCATCAGGCAAATTTAATAACTAAACATTAAGCATGTCAAAGGATTTTTAACTGTTATTTTTTTTAGGATCTTTTTAATTTAGGTTTTTCTCTCATTTCTCTCAGGCGAGGAACTACATCAACTCACTTCCCCACATGCCAAAGAGGAACTTTGCTGATGTGTTTATTGGTGCCAACCCTCTTGGTAAGTTCCCTGTTCACCATCACATTACTCCTGGATCACCGAGTTCCTCTAGTAGTGTCATGAGGTGGCTTTTGTGAGGATTTTTCTGAATTACTAGACATGTTAACTAATCCAGTACAGATATAGCTATGTAATAACAATGCAGCAACACAGTTTTAACGCCTATCTGATGCTTTTCACACCTGTACTTTGGTTCATGTGGCGCAGACAAAGGTGGAGAATGATCCATTAGTGCATTTTAGTTTAGGTCCAGTTTATTTTCATCCTACATTTTAACAAAAAGCCCCTTTTACACTGCCCAATCAATGTGATATTTTTCTGTAAGTGTACTCCTCACCGTTCTGTGTAAAAGGTACAGTACTGGCATGGGGGGGGGGGTATGGGGGACTCAGTGCTGACCCTCTAAAATGTCATAACAAGATGTAGATGTTTGCCATGACGAGTTCACCACACCTCCCATAAGAACAGGACAAGGTGGAATGGTGGGTTTGAGGTCCACGTGAGAGAGAGAGAGCGAGATAGAGAGAGTGAGTGAGTGAATGAAGAGAGAGAGCAGTGTCAGCGAGAACAAAGTGAATCAAAGAAGGAAAATGTTATTTTGTGACTGTTTCACTGTGGTTATGCTCTAAAGCATGAATAAACACAGCCTCTGCACAACCCTGTGAGAAGGACTGTGCGTCAAAATGCACACCTCTGTCTGTTCTACTGTGCACCTTGTGTGTGTGTAGCCCTGCCCTCAAACAAACACACACACACACCTGAAATTGGAACTGGCATGGGGGGGGGGGACCCTCCAAAATGCCACAAGAGGTAGTATTTTTGTCAAGACGAGAGGAAGCTGCATCAGGAAGAACAATGCGAATCAGAGAATTAAAGCATTATTTGTGATGGTTTCATGATGGTTATCTCTTTAAATGCAAATAAACACAACCACGCCTCTGCACAACCTAAGGGCATTGTGTGAAAGCTAAAACGCACACTTCTGTCAACTCTGCTGTGCACCTTGTGTGCATGTAGCCCTGCCCTCAGACACACAGACCTGAAAGCGCATGCAGATAGTAGGCTACTGTAATTCCTGATTTCCAATTTTCTGTTTTAATTAAACTGAATGGATCCAGTGTCGAAGTACCCTCAGATTAGCAACTAGCGTTTGGGTGGATATTTTCAGGTGATTAAACAGCTTTTCTTTCCTAGTAAACAATTTTTGGTTTTTCCCTGTCAGTTTTGTTTTTGCTCTGTCCCTTTTCTCATGCTCACCATTCTTTCTCTCAATGCTGTGTGTTTAAGCGGTGGACTTGCTGGAGAAAATGCTGGTGTTGGACACAGACAGGCGTATCACGGCGTCAGAGGCTCTGGCCCACCCCTACTTTGCCCAGTACCATGATCCGGACGACGAGCCTGAAGCAGACCCTTATGACCAGAGCTTCGAAAGCCGCGAGCTGGAGATTGAGGAATGGAAGCGTAAGCTGGCACATTGTGGATGCCTGGTTTACGATTTGTAAAGATAACCTTACCTGTTGAGTAAAAATTAGCTTGATTTAAGTTAATAAATCAGTTAGCAATCGGTATAAATCTGCCTTTTTTTTTTTCTCCTCAGGCTTAACTTATGAGGAGGTACTCAGCTTTGTGCCGCCATCGTTTGATGGAGACGAGATGGAATCCTGAGGAGGACGCATCTTTTCTTC